CTTTGAAGATACGCGCTCAATCGAAGCAATTTCAGATAGACTCGCCCACAAATGCACAAACACCACACACGCTCGCACACCCACACGGACACATACACACACACACACATGCTATCTTCTTTGGCAGCTTTATAGCTTTTCGTTCTCTTTTTGATAAGAGGCTGCAGAAAAAAAAAAAATAAATAAAAGGAAAAAGCGCACACTGAATCGTTGTCATCATTAAAATGAGATGGAAGGCGTGGCAAACTAAAGCCAACTCAATCAGAAAGAAGGAGAGCGAGAGAGAAAGAGGAGAGAGCGAGACAGTGAAAGAGAGAATGGGCGAAAGCTGGCAGATAACTTGGTCTGGACTGTTAAAACGAAGAGAATCTATAAAAAAATTTATGAAATCGTTAAAACTAAGTAAATGCGATGCCTCGTAAAATACAAACAGATATTGTTGTGAATGCCGCTGCTTCTGTATGGAGTAATGAACAAGTTATCAAGAGTAGCGAGTGCTGTTTACTTATGCATGCATGTATTTCGCTTCACGGATGCCTATTAAATTTGACTTTGTAACACAAAAATCCAACTCCAAACACTTGGCTCATAGGACAGTCGAATACAAAATGTCATAAATCATTTTAAAAAAATCGCCCTGCCAAATCACAGTCTGCACAACGCAATACGATTCGGGACCCCAAAACCAATAAGGATTCTCCACAACGTTTTTGTAGGCAACATACTTTTTTAATGGGAAACCAATAGATATAGTATTTAAAAAAAAATTTAAAGTTCAATAGCTTCGAAAATTTTTTTTTCCAAAAGTTGACAAAAGTTTGAAAAAAATGTTTATCGTGATTAAAAGCCATATTTCGAATTTCGAAGCTAAGCACGAACAGATCAAAATGTGCAGCCGGGTAATTGTCGGTTTTGCTTAGGTCAGATTTATCTTTATATTTTTTTGCGTTGCCGTGTGAAATTTTTAATTTGTATGTGCCAGCTTGCGATCTCTTATCCACTAATCAGCTTTAAATGATCCAAAACATGGGATGAAAATACGAAAATTGTTAAAAATAGTTTTCCAAATTGGTGAAACTTTTATGAATTCTTCGCTAAAGTAGAGCTTTGAAAATGAATTTGAAGTCTATGTTCTATGTTCTTTTCCACCTATTTCCACAATTGCACGTGAAATGCTTGAAAATTCCTTAGCGAGCATTCAAGGCAGCTACAGTAGAAAACTCAGCTGCAGAAATCAGTAAGATAGGACGAAAAGTTACATATATGTATATATATTTAGCCTTTTATGGAGTTCTTTCCTTAGCTGAGCCTCGCCAAACTCAACAATCTGCAACAAATGCAAACTTTCTGCTTGCTACAGCATTCCCAGCCTGGATGGCAATGGGGTTTTTGCAAAACCATCTTAGACAATGACTGGCGCTTAATACGTTAAATTTTGTGCAATTTACAACCGCAGATTTTGGCATAGCTGAAACAACGGACGCACATGACGTATGTGGAATATTTTATGCCAAAGAAATGCGAAGGATAAAGTTTTGTGGCGCGTTCGCGTCACATTGTTGCCGCTTGCAAGTTGTTAAAATGAAACAATTTGTATTTTCATTTCTAGGCAATGATTTGTTGTTGTCTCTTGTGCAGTTGCTTTGTTTTATTGCTGCAACTGCGTTGCGCAGACAATTGCCAAATAATTGCATGAAAGCAAATCTGCAATTAAATCAGCTTCTGCTGCTGCTGCTGCTGCTGTTGCTATTGCACTTACATATTTAAACACACACACACACACACACACGCAAATGAATGCAAAAACATTTTCAAAGTACAACAATTTTTTCTTTAATTTTAATAAATAAATGAGAAAAAACTGGGCGCGAAATGCACTTAACTCATTTGCAAGCCGCACAGAAATGCGCTTAAATAAATTAAAATGCGGCAGCCCTGACACTTAAACACATACAAGCGAGTGCAAAAAAAAAAAAAAAAAGAAACAAACAAAAACAAAAAAAAAAAATTATCAGAGAAAAAGCAAAAGCAAACATGACAGACAAAGGACAAAGTGTCCTGGCAACCTCTTGCGCTTTCGGCTGAATGCCCATGAAAGGCAGTGAAAGTGCGCCAAGCAAGGAGAAGCGCATATAAGGCGAAAGGCGTGAGGCGTGAGGCGTGAGGCATGAGGCATGAGGCGTAAGGCTGCTGCCAAGATAGTCAGCTGTTGGGGGCACCTCAAAGGTGCCAGCTGCAAGTGTCGCACTAAGTAGTTGCTGGCAAGTCGGCCTCATCCGGTGCCTCGCACAGCCAGACAAGCACTTAAAATGTCGCAGTTGCCATTAAAAAATGATATGTATATATACACATATATCAAACAACGAATAATGAAATGATAATTAAAAGCAGGCGGCATTCTACGGGCGGGTAGTCGGAAGGGTGCTGCAAGGCAATGCAAGGACCTTCATTTGTTGTCCATAAAGTGCACAAATTGAAGCGACCACAAAATGCAGACGCAGAATTCAATTAAGCAGAGTATCCAAGTGGGCGTGACAATGGGCGTGAGCGTGGCTCTAATGAAGAAATTATGAAGTGCAGTAAAGCGCAGAAACGACGACCAAAGCTCAAGCAAAAAGTCAAGAAGGCCAAGCCAGACAGTCAAGCAACAAAAACAACCCAATGAATGGACTCAGCCGGAAATGGACATAAAGATGGAAATGGAAATGGAGATTGAGAGACTGCCACGGCGACGGCAATGACGACAGCGACACTGTGATTGAGCTGGCCTGGGGCGAAGGAAACAATAAAATGCAGCCAGCGGCAAAGTTGCACGACAAAGAAAAATGGACAAAAGACGCAGGAAGCAAATTGTAAAAGCCAAAACGAGCTACAATCATTGAATACTTGATTTGTGCTAATCATTATTTAATATTTTGTTTTTATACCCTGTGTCCATTTGGAAATAGATAAGAATGGATGTCTTGTCTTTAGGCATATGTATGTGACTTTTTTTTTTTAAAAATAATTGTATTGGTCATGAATATCAACTATCGAAATGGTCTAACCTTGGTTGTCTGTATGTCTTACCAGTCTTTGTCTGTTTCTGTCTATCTGTCTGACTGCCTTTCCATACGAACACATATATATACGGATTTTGAGAGCTAGATACTATAAACTGCGTAATAAACCAAGTCTGAAACCCGAATTTCTATGGATTTCATGGATACTTCCGCCTTATCCATTATCTGTTATCAATGATTTGATATAATTTTGATCTGTTCGGGCAATAGGATAACTTATGTTCCACGATCTATATATACTCCATATACAACAACAATGTTCGATCTGTTAGATAGTGTGCATGAAAAAAATATTATGCCCTTTACAGGGTACAGATAGCTGCGATAGTGTTGTAAAGTGCGTCATCATTCGTTTCTCTACGCCGACGACCAATGTAAATAATTAAAAATATTAAATATATCAAATTATATGTTATAGATGTTAAATGTTTAATAGACGAATATTGAATAGGTTGAGTTTTAAATTGGTTAAATTGTTATTAGGCTGAGACAGTGTTGTGCAAGGCACATTTTGAGATGCCCGCACATTAAAGTTTAATTCATGAAATTAAGTAAATTGCGGCAATGATTTAAGTGCAAAATCATTTTCCATATTACAAAAAATTGTCGAAAAGTCGTTTATCAGAAGAGGCTGTGTGTAGGAGGAGCAGTGGAAGGTGGGGCAAAGGTCGCGAGCTGGCGCGGAAGCCAACTTGTCATTCATCAAACTTTTTCAATAAAACTTTTGCGCTGCTCATCGCTGGCCAAACCAGACGTAGCTGCAAATCCGGCGCTCATTTCGGCGGTAGTCATAAGCCAAAATCCGATCCCGGTGGCAAAGTAGATTGAAATTTGTCTACATTTCGGCAGAGCTACGGATATGGATATGCACGCGAAGCAGCGGATGTCCTTCGAGCGGCTGTCACTGGATGAGTCTGTGTAAAAGTTTTTCCTGCCATTGACTGCCAGATCCGCCGAATGCCACCACTCGAGTGTTTCGGTTCACGTTCCATATCTGCTGCTTCCAAGAGCTGTCATTGTCAGGATGCTCCTCCTCCATATCTTCCCTACCAGGACTGCTGCTCAATAAACAATTCAGCTTGCAGCTTGGCGATATTATGCTCGTATTGTTATTCCTATCGATTTGCTCTTTGGCAAAACCTGCATTCAATTTGAGCACGAGCCATGCAACTTTTATGTTAAGCTCATCGTTTTGCCAACAGCTAGATGATGCCAAAGCACACAGCGACCCCAAAAAGGAGAGTAACAACAACAAAGGAGCTAAAACTGGCAGCAGCAGAACGTGAGTTCTCCCCGGGTCGATGCAATGACACTTGAAAGCATTCAACAATTTCTCAAGAACGTGTTGTGTACTCTTTAAGTAAGAAAATTAGAGCGATCAACAAAAAATACCAGACACCCTGCACAGACTGTAACGCAGACTTCCGTCCTACGAAAATTTTCGTTATTCAAATAACGTATACGCCTAACGATAGGTGCGCAAGACTATATATAAACACTCTGTTACATTCAGGATTTGGCTCTCTTACAAGTGTTAGACCATACATATAGCCAGTAATATCAAGACCAAGCCAGAACCTGGTTTTCGAGAACCAGGAATCCAGTATTTAGCTGGTTCATGCCAGTTGATGCTTGAAGCACACGCGACCTCAGATATGTAAGAAACAGGGTATTAATCACACAATAATCACAGGCTATGCGAGAACAATTGTCGAATCCTTTGAAAGTATTATCGAAGCTCCGCTGCCAACGACAATGCATGCATTTTTATATGGCAACGTTTCTTTTCCTTTAGAGTATGCATCAGCGAGATATGATATGGGCGTGGAAACTAACTTAATAGAGGAGCTGTGACATGAACCACATTAGTAGAATAAGCCGGGGTTAGTCAACGCGAGAGCGGGGCGATTAGCGCATGGAAAGGGGGAATCCGCTTACGCTTGGAGATACAGCCCCAGGCCAAGAGAAGCGCAGTCAGTGCTAAACAAGGTACATAGAGAAAGAGAGAGAGAGAGACAGAAAGAGATTGAGAGAGAGAGAGAGAAAGAGTATAACTTAAAAGTTTGGCAAAAAACTAAAGATCAAAGGGATGTGAATGGGATACGGCCGGGCTACAATGCTTACCATTCTGTGCGGCGCTGCCCTGGAACAGATTACGCAGATAGCTGATCAGACGTCGATGCAGTGGCCGGTGGCGGTGACGCGAGGATTTGCGCACCGATGAGGATGACTCCTGGCCGCCACCTTCGCCCTGCTCCACATCGTCCGTATCGGCTGTCTCCTTGCCGCATTGCGTGGCATCCACAATGATCTCAATGCTGCGCTGTGTGCTGGACTTTTTGAGATGGACGCCGGCGCCACCAGAACCACCACCACCTCCACCACCACCACCTCCGCTGCTGCCAAACGCTGCCAAAGCGCTGCTGCTGCCGGCTCCAGCGCTGGTGGCAATCGTGCCAATTAGTGCATCCGTGGCACAGCTGCCCGTGCCCGCAATACTGCTTACGATGTTGTCGCGCGAACTGTGCGCCGGCTGCTGCTGTATGATGCGACTGTTGCCCATGGCGCCGGGCAGCTGGCGTCCATGACCGGCGCCGGGCAGCTCGTTAACCGTGCCATTGCTGTGACTGCCGCGATATATTAGCTCCGTCTCGTTGGACACTTGGCGCAGCGCATGTAGTCCCAGCCCCGTATGTGAGGCGCTGCTAGCCATGCCACCAGCACCAGGGACGGCACCGCCACCGCCGCCACCACTGGAGCCGCCACTGCCATTGAGGCCTGTGTAGTAGGCGCTATTCGGTCGCTGCGTATGCTGCACCTGAGGCCCGGCCATTGCGCACTCTGCACTTCGCACTGGAGGATCGGTGGCTGTCGCTGTCTCAATCGCAGCTCGAGCGGATCGGCGGGTGAGCAGATGGGCGGTTCGACGCGTCTAGTTACGTGTTAAGCGCCTGTCGATTCGGTTTGTTAGTTGTTTTAGTTGCATTGCGATCATTTTATGCAATTACATTTTGGCCACCTTTGCGGTCTGCGATCTACGATCTAGGCTCTTGGGTTAGACACTGGCTGGGATTAGGCGTTAGTTATTGCGTTTAGCTTTTGATATTTGCTTTAAGCGTTTTTTGCGCCTGGCAGTCGGCAGTCGCTCCAACTTCAACTTTAAATTCTCAACATCTGCATGAGGAGAAAAAAAAAAAAAATTGGGAAAGAGAGAGAGAGAGAGAGAGAGAGAAAGAACAAGACAAAATATCAGAAGCTTGTTGTTAATCCAAATAAATATTAAGTTTGTATTAGTTTACTTTCAACAGCCAGCAGCAGCAGCAGCAGCAATTGCTTGTTCGTATGCGTGTGTGTGTGTGTGTGTGTGTACGAGACTGCGTGTCAGCATGTTTGTGACAAGTATATGTATATATGAATCTAGCATATTACACTCACTTTAGTGACGTACATGGTAAAGCTTTAATTTGAAGAGTTTTTGTATTGCTGGTTCAAACCCATCAACAATTTAATATTCTGGCACATATTTTCTTTTCTTGTTTTGATTATATTAATAATAAAAACAAAAAAGACTGAAAAATGAATATTATAAATAATCACTAAAATGTATTAGATCTCGAAGCTGGTTGCCGTTAATATTAATATGCAATGCATTCATTTTACATTCGTTCTGCTCAGATTCTCATTAGTAATAAAATAGATAAAGCATTCGATCTAAGCAAGCCAAGTAGCGAAATTCATACGGCAATTGCTTTCGATGAAGGGTCTAGGTGTTTATTTATTTAGTTAAGTCCGAACGGATCAGTCCGTGTAAATTTTAAAAGTTTTGTTTTTATTTGTTTGTCCTTAATCCGTATTCGGTGGCCTTCTAACATTCAAAACAATATGGACGAAGACAAACCCTTCAATCCATTCTACATTGGGCCCCACCCAAGCAAGGCATGCGCCCTTCCCGAAACTCTGCCTCGTGAATGCTCGCCGGACTGTACAGCTCCGAAAGTTGGCGGTGTTGAAGCGGTTGGATCGGAAAGTGCTGGTAAAGGAGTCGGTAGTCAGGGTACAGCCGGTAGGGGAAATGAGAGTCTTAGTGAAGCGGCACCTGCGTCCAATAGCTCAAATCTGGCGACACCCTGCGCTCCGTATCCTTGCTATGATCGCAGCAAGTAGCATAGATACGGATCAAGCGACACAGCAATTATCTAAATTTACGCTGAAATTTAAATAAACCAAGTTCAAACTAAGCTAAAAACAGATATTTCTGCAGACTGCTCGAAGGCCCTGTTTGCCTCAAATCAAATGCAAAGTGTATGGCTTGTTTGTATAATACGGATATATTAGCTAGTCGTACCATCCGTTTATAATCCGTTCTCTGAAATGTAGCTAGATACTTGAACGTGGGTGTCGGGCACATTATAAAGTTGATATCGACAATTTTCGAGCTCGCATCTCAAAATTTTCCAGCTACATTTTTTAACACCTTTCTAAGGAAACGAGCCAACAAAAAGTATATATTTTAAAGCCACATTTTAAAAGACTTGCTAGCCAAACGTAAAGATTACTTCTCTCAACTGATTGATTGGTGATTATGCTATATGAACAAATTGATTACTGAGTCAGTTATACTCAACTGCAGCGCACTTAAGTGCAGTTTGCAAATACGCAATGCAGTGATGTGTGACATGCATGTTAAATTTTCAATGCAGTTGTGCACAAGAATTTTAATTCGAATCTAGAATATGAGCAGAGTATGTTATTAAGCAGTTTGTTAGAGTCGACTGCGATGCAAAGCGTCATGCATGTTAGAGCGCATGTTAAACTTTCAATGCAGTTGTGCACAGGAATTTGAATTCTAACCTAATTTCTCTTTACTTTTGTTATGCAAGTCAAAACCAATTGTAATATTCATAATTAAATTTAGCTTTGAATCAACAGCAGTATAGATTTAAATGTAAGTTTGCATGTTTAAATATTTATCATATTCTGGGCCAAATTCAAAGTTTGCTTTTAGCTGCAACAATTGTGTTCATTCCGATTTGGCTAAATCCAGCTGATTCAGTTGTTTGCTGTTCTGCTGTAACTGCATCTTTGATGCCTCGCTATCAACAGTAATGCATTAGCAGTAGCAGCAGCTGTAGCAGTAGCAGTAGCAGTAGCTATAGTGGCATCGACTGCTTTGCAATTTCAATTTCCATTGGCATTGCATCATGGCGTTCTGTTGCGTTTCTCGAGCGTATTGCTCTTGCAAATTGAATGAAGTTCAAATTTATTATTTATTGATAGACTTATGCAAGTGCGCAACAACAGCGGCAGTGGGTTGGCAGTAGGGAGTGAGGGAGGAGCAGGTACTTGAGACGCAGCTTATGGTTGCTCCTTATAAGTACTTATGGATGCATATATATATATATATATATATCTGTGCTATATGCGTGTGTGTGTGTGTGTGTGTGTGTGTATTTGTGTGCTTGTATAGCCTGGCACTTGGCAAAATTGCTAACACGGCTGACTTCTTTGGCAAAAACTGTTCTGCCATACGACCTGCTGCTCACCTGCAGCTGCAACCGCTTTCGCCACCCACCTTTCACCGCCCTCTAACAAAATGATTTATGCATTTCACCCGTTTTGTTGTCGACATTTCGCACTGAATACAACAACGGCAACGTTTAATGTGATTTTCTTGTTAAATGGAGACGCAAGCAGCAGCTGAAAAGCGTCCTCTACGAAAACGCTTTTCACTCGTTTCGCTGTTTTTCTTTTCTTTTTTTTTTTTCTGCCAGTTTTAATTTTTCACAAATTGTCTGCACTTACGTCCGCTTTGTTAAGCGCTTGAAGTGCGCCTCCGTTGTTGCTGCTGTTGTTTTTGTTGTTGCAGCTGTCGTTTTTGTTAATTTCGGGACTTTTCTGAATTGTAAACGAGCTTAAACGAATGTGATTATAGTTTTGCAATTCAGTTCTTAGCTTTCCATTCGCAATCTTCAAATAAGTAATTCCATTTCGGATGCTTCCTATGTCAAATTAAGCACTCACTTGACACCAGCAAAACTTGTTCATGTTATTCATATGCGAATGATTGAAGCTTGTTGATGAAATGGCATTTCATTATTCGGCTTTCATGGGGATAATATTGGTAAATTCTCTAAGCAAACAGTAGTTCTTGAAAGAAAATTTTATCAAGCGTTAAGCCACTCGTTATCAGAACGTTAAAATACTGGCAAATCGAATAGACATTTGGGTTAACTATGGATCGGTTATACAAAAAGGCAACTCGCCAGGAACTGACTTTTTGCCGATCTGGAGAGGCTAGGAAGCTGACATGTTTAAGGCACCTTCCTTTGGCTAGATGCTTGGGCGCTGAACTAGCAAGAGAGAGTGCGTTGGTTCAAATTCCGCAGGAAAATTTAGTTTGTTTTTAATCACATAAAAGAGAGCAATAATTAATGAATAAAAATGTAAAATAAATGGGTGTTTATTTTGAGCGGGCTTTCTATTCGTCCGGGATTGCCGCGAAATGCACAAACAATTTAAGGTTGTTGTATGATTTACATTATTTCATTTACCCTGGCAACGCCGCTTAATTTCTTCTGTGACTATATGTATGCTTCTTTATAGTATTTACTAAAACTCCAGCTATTTAATTAAATGTTTTTTTTTTTTACGTTTTATCGCTGTTGCAATGTATGTCTCATTCTTTACTTTTGTATTCTTGGCTTGGGTTCCCTTCATAAACTAATTTGCATTCATAAGAAGTTCTATTCATTTCAATGCAAAATATTTATTTCCTTTGGCGCCATTATGAGCTGTCAACAAATCAAACATGAAGACTTAATTTATTGGCATGTCGGAAATGTCGGAATGCCGAGTGAAGCGAATGGAAAACAATGCATAAATATCTATTAAAATGGGATTGAAATAAATTATAGTTTACATAGCAGCAGCAGTAACAGCACTAACAGCAGCAGTGGCAATGGCAGTGGCAGCGGTAATAATAATGTGGTAACACAGAGGTTAATAGCAGGGTGAAGAAGCAGCACAGCTCAGTACAGAGTAAAGCTGGAAAACGTGGGTTGCCAACAATATACATGTAGGCAGCATGAAGGTCAGATGACGCTCTCCGAAGAAACTAAGCTGGGCAGGCGCTGGGCACTGTAGTGCAAGGCAAACACTTCGATGGGAAGGCAAAATCAACGACGTGAACAGAGGAAATTAAGTGCATGGCAGCGAACCAGCAACAGCAGCAGCACCAGGAGACGATGAACGACGGACGATAGACGGATGGGGTGCTGCTGCTGCTGTTGCTGTTGCTGCTATATAAAATGTTGAGGACAACAATGGGACTCGCATACTTAGAAGCACTTGAGCATAAGAAAAGAAAGCAAATCGTGAGGAAATGAAGCTGAAATTTATTATAACAATACACACACAGGCAGTAATCGTGTGCGGCTGCAGTTGCTCTGCTACGGTTCGGCTTTTGGGCATCGTTTATGATGCCGGAAGGCGAATAAAGCGGATATGCCAGTCAAGAAAACCGAAATACGAAAAAGGTAAACCTAAACTGTGCGAGTCTAGCAGCTAAAAATGATGATGGCAACATAAAAGTGGTCCGGCAGCTGCCACGTCGCGAGCATACCCAAGTAAACTGTGTAGCTAATTGATAGCACACGTACCACAGCTATTGTTGCAAGGTGGTTGTGGTGGTGCTTGCACTTCTCAAGACACTGCCACGCATTCCCAGCTCAAATGTCAAGTGTACTTTCTTGAAGCGATGCTGTTCTTCTGCCCCTTCCAACATGCCACATCGCACACAACCACAAGGAAGCCTGATGCAAGCAATCGCGTCTCTGAAAATATGCGCAATATTCCAAAAGGGAAGGTAAAAGGAAATTGGATTTTTGTTGACATTATTTTACAAATATCCGGGCGTACAAATAGCTATAACAATGGGCTTCTTGTTGTTGCTGCTGCTGTTGTTTTTGACCAGTTCTGGCCAGCTTTTCACACGCATACACCAACACACGCACACGCACACGCACACGCTCTCCCGACCTGATTTGGCTTAAATTTATGCAATGAGTTATTTGCGAGCTGCTACTCAAGCACATCCGATCCAAAGTGGAAGCTGAAGCAGCCAGCCATTGTTTGTCTGTGTGTGTGTAAGATGGCGGTAAACATATTTTGATTTTCCATAATAAATTACCA